AAAAGTTCTGGATGAACCTGCATCTACTTTTGTTAGGAACTACTAATAAAGTAAGACCATTCCAAGTTTTCCCAAAATACAGGCTTCAAGATGTGCAGGTGTCGGTGTTTTTGACCACCGATGAGTAAATTTGTATTTGCGCGTCTAACTCGGATGGTGTGCTCGGAAGACACAAGGGTTTATACTGGTTCAGGCGGAACGTCCCTACGTCCAGTTCGCTGCTGCCCGTGCTACCGGCACTTGGTTTACAATAGAGGTTACAAATAGGCAAGAGAGAGAGAGGATCCCAAGTCTCTGGTGGAAGGAGTGAACGAGTGCTGAGAGCTCAGTTGCCGCTCAGCCGTGTGCTCGTGTCGTGCTCTTGTGTCCAGATCTCTCCGCGTGGGGCGCCCTGCTTCCTCTTTTATAGGCGAAGGAAAAACGCGGGTTGCAGAGAAGGAAAAGGAGAAGAACGAGAGAGCGAGAGGAAGGCTTCCAGGGTTGCCGGGTCTTTCTTCACCTTCATACGGGTCCCGTTGATCCTGTAGATGTCAACAGGGACCGCTCTATGTCGCGGTCCTGTTCGTCACTAGCGCCATGCGCAGAAGTTATCTGCCGGTCATGGCGTTTCACTCCGTCCCGGCGGACGTCATGGTAAACTGACACGCCTGTCAGCGTTTGTACGAGGATTAGGCAGAACAACGCTGACACGTCCGACACTGTTCTTGATGTGAATCCCCAGGTATGGCACGGTATGGCCATAGATTATATCGAGGCGTGCTAGCCTCTTCCCCGGCGTCAGAATTTTGACTCAGGCCCATACGCTTGGACCTGGAGTGGTTGGCGGTGGTATGGGTCCCCGTTGGACGAGACGGAACCCGCGTCCTCGAGGTCGGGCGAGACGGAGCCCGCGACCTTGGGCGAGACGAAGCCCACACCCAAGGGAGCCCGCGGCCTTGAGGTCGGACGAGGCGGAGCCTACGGCCTCGGGGTCGGGCGAGACCTTTTAATACGTCTCGAGCCATCCGGGAAAGTCAGCGTGGGTGCTAACTTTCTTGCTTTGAGTATCCCTAATATCGATACCCGACAATAGGTTCAATAGATCCAATTCAATCACCAAGAACAACAGTATCTCAAAATCTAGGAGAAAATCATCAGAAGGTAAACAAAAAATCCCAACTCGGTCATATATCGAGATATGCAGGTTCATTGAAACCTGGAATGCAGTCTCCAAAATTTTGCATAAAAAATCTTAATATATGAAAATATGCATCTCCATGTGTTATCTACAAGTCTGCATAAAAAAGGCAATGTGGGAATGTCAAGGGCACCCGGGCCTAGGATAGCTGGACCTCGACTACGGAGCTCGTAGTCTCGATCCGTGGTTGAGGCGAGGTTTTACCTCTCAGCTCTCAGGTTCGGTTGGAGAAGAAGGAGATCAGAGAAATAGTTCTTGATTGCCTTTTCCCGAGTTCACTTACATGCATATATATGGCCAAGGCCTAAACCGAATCTGAGCCAATTGCTCCTATAATTAAGGACTGAAAATAGGAAACTGAAAATAGGAAACTATCCTATCCTTCCACGCTTGTTGCCGCTGTTCGCGACTTCTCACAAGACGTCGTGGGTTCGCTTGGCGCCGTATATCGGCGCCTCACATGACATCTCTCCCCCCGTCGAGGAGCAGCTCGTCCTCGAGCTGGAATGTAGGATACTTGGTGCAGAATGGCTCGACGTCCTCCCAAGTCGCCGACGCCACGGACTCCCCTTTTCACTGGATCAATACCTGGCGCACACCACGAGCCAGGCGTGTCCGTAGTGCACGTTCCGGCTCTGGGGCAAGGCGCTGCAGCCTTGTCGACCGGGGGAGCCGGAAGGGCGAGGCGTGGAGCTGGAGCAGGCAGCAGGCCTCGGGTTGCGGCCTTGGTGGGTGCAGGCGTGTACTGCTCCCGCAGCTCTAGTTGCCGTGCCAAGCTCATGGCGGCCGCCAGCGACTGGGGGTTCTGGATGTGGACGTCGATGCTAAGCGGTGGTAGGAGACCCCCAGTGAAGAGCTGCACCCGCTGCGACTCCTCCAGAGGACCCGCGCGTGCCAGGAGCGCTTGGAAGCGATCCTGGTACTCAATGACCGTGCTTGTACGCCGGCAATCGGCGAGCTCGAACAGCGGCGCAGATCGCAGCGGCGGACCGTAGCGCAGGTTGAGGAGTTCGGTGAAGCGGCGCCAGGAGGGAGTACCCTCGTCCATCTGAACTTGGATGTACCACAGATGGGCTCCCTCCTCCAGGTTATAGGACGCCATCCAAACCTTCTCCTCTTCCATGATCCACTGCTGATGGAAATACGACTTGCATCGATTGATAAAAATTAGCGGATCGGACTTGCCGTCATACCACGGGAAGTCCATCTTCTGGAAACACGACGGCCGGTCGGTGTGGTGCTCACCCGTGGCGTGCCTGCTGCCGAGGAGGAGGACGGAGCGGCGGACAAGGCAAGGATTGCCTTGGCATTGGCCTCCGCTGTGGCTTGCAGGGTTTTGACGGCCGTGGCCAGCGCCTCCACGGTGGCCTTGAGATCGGTGGAGTCACCCATAGCGGCGGTGCAGGAGGATGCGGAGGCGGGGGAAGGTGGCGTGGCGGTTGTAGATGGAGGTGGCGGCGAGGCGGCTGGTGGTGAGGTGGAACTGGAGGGCGAGGATCGCCGGGACCGTGATACCAGGTTGCCAAGGGCACCCGGGCCTAGGACAGCTGGACCTCGACTACAGAGCTCGTAGTCTCGATCCGTGGTTGAGGCGAGGTTTTGCCCCTCAGCTCTCAGGTTCGGTTGGAGAAGGAGATCAGAGAAATAGTTCTTGCTTGCCTTTTCCCGAGTTCACTTACATGCATATATATGGCCAAGGCCTAAACTGAATCTGAGCCAATTGCTCCTATAATTAAGGACTGAAAATAGGAAACTATCCTATCCTTCCACGCGCGCTGCGCGTTCCGCGGCTCTGCGCACGTCGCGGGTTCGCTGGCGCCGGGTATACGTGCGCCCCCACATGACAGGGAACTAGATAGTAGCAGCTAGCAGCAGAAGGAAACCTACCAAACACTTCTATCCTCTTATCAAGCATCAGCACAAGAGGTCCCTCTTGTTTGTAATCTGAAAGATGAGATAAACATGGGCATTTGAGAAACAAGAAGCAGTAGTACAAAGTACAGTCATTTAAGGCTAACGCAGTAGATAATAATTTTAGTTTTCATCAAACAAATTCAGATTCCAGTGCCCAGAAAAAGAACTATTGAGCATGAAGCCTTTGAAAAACTGAGCAAGAAGCCTACTGGATTTCATTGTGCACTAACCAGGTACAATAGAGTAGTCTCTATATCATAAACAGAAATTTCAGTCCACCGCCAATAGGCATCATACATAAACTGCACTTGCCGTATGAATTCTCCTGCACAAGCTTGCATAACTCACCTAAACAAAAGGGTATACAAAAAAAATTGACAAATAAAGAAATACTCAAGTAAAAAAGATAACTGATAAAGAAAAAAGAACGAAAATATTTTACATTTGCAGGCAAATGTTCACCAAAGTACATGTTAAGCTTCTCCCTGAATCCAGTTGATTCACCATGGGCCTATTTTGTACAAATATATAATGTTAAACACTGCCTAAAATCAACAAATACATGAGGATATAAAAAAACAAACCTTCTCTTGATCATTACAAAGCGGGAGCTCTCTGCACTGGGTACGCCCTTCTCTTGATCATTACAAATTCCATTGATTTCTTGGGCAACCTTCTTATGCTGATTCATTTTCTAAAAGAATGTAGATAACAATAATTTGGTTAAACACGCCAAAATTTGAAACACTTAACCTTAAACAAAAAGTTTTTTTTGGGGAAGAATTGCAAGTCATCCACCTTTTTCGTTTAGTTGGAAACAAGCTAACTATTTATAGATCAAAGAGCCAGAAATCACTAACACAATATTAAAGAATGATCCAGCAAAAAAACAATCTAACAAGACTAAGACTACTTCATTTCATTCTGAAAGCCATGAAGCACTCAAGCTCCCTAGCTTAGCTTAAAAAAGATCCAGCACATAAGACCCAAGACACATGGTGACCTGAACTGAAAACTGTACTTGAAGCAAAAAAAAAAAAAATGTATTAGATAAGTTGAAATTGCTTCTCTAGATCATGAAAAGGACGTGCACATACCACAAGATTTGCGTGCTGCTAACCTGCTTTACCTGCACAGAACAAAAACCAAAGTGAGCTGCAGCCCCTTCTCCTTCTAGAAATTGATGAAAAGAACATGAAGTTGGGCAGTGTCTACTATCAGGTTGCTGCTGCACTGAGCACTAGAGGAAAAAATGCAACCATACTGAAGGCAGCAGTTATCAGAGCTACCCATGAGTAGGCAGCGTGGTGAGATGCAAGCCTAAAATGACGCAAGACCGTAAAATCTAAAACTATGAAACGTCAAACTCAATGATAGAAGCCTGCTACATATGACTGAATGGCCAAACTGCAGATCATCTAATGGTCAAACAAAGATTTGTTTGATGGACAAACTGAACTCTAAAATTGAATTGAACCTAAAGTAAAACTGAAAAATAAATTCTACTTCACTTCAACTGAACTTCAAATGAAAATAGGAAACACTAAACTTAACCTGAACTTCAACAAAACAAATACTGAAAAAAATAGCAAAATTGAACCACAGATCGGGAATTGCTTTCATGCTAGGTAGGCAGGAATCACAGCAGACCTGAGGGGAATGAAGGCGTCTCCAGCAACAAACCTTTTGGAACAAACAAAAACACTCCAACCACTCTGAAGTCTGAAAGAAATGCCTCCTAGGTTGCTCTGAAGAAGACAGATTCACAACACGGATAGCAATCATCAACATCAGGAACAAACAATCAGGGAAAAATGAAACACTGAACCTCGAACAATAAACTAATCCACTCATTTTTACACTTGGCCCACATGCCCAGTAAAATCTAATCCCAAACCCAATCCCAGCCATGCCGACGCCGGTGCCCGCCGCGCGGCAGTGTCTTGCCCCGGCCGCCGTCGTCACCTCCGCGCGCCGTCGGGCGCACGCGCAGACCACCTCGCTCCACCTCATCGCCTCGCTACTCGCGCCCACCGCCGCGCCGCTGCTCCACGACGCGCTTGTCCGCGCTCGCAGCGCCGCCTACTCGCCGCCCAATCGACGCCCACCAAGCCCACAACCATTTGAGGGAGACAGATGCGATAGAGGGGGAGGGAGGGAGAGAAGAAGAAGACTCACCTGCGGGTGGATGAGGGGCGGCGACGAGGGTGAACGCGGCAAAGACAGCGACAGACGAGGGCGGAGTACGAACAACTACGGCAAGGAGGGAGAAGTCGAGAGCAGTGCGTCGAGGCGTGCGGAGCAGGGAGAACCGGACAGCTGCCACAGCCGGCTGCACGCGGCCGCCGCCACCGCGGACAAAGCCGCCGCCGCTGCCGCCACCGTCGGCAAGGCCACGCCCACCATCAACATCAACGAGAACAGCCGGTCCCAAACTGAAATGAGGCAGCGGGATAATATTTTTAGATACGGAAGCGCTGACGGCCGCACGTCCGATGGATATGTATACTGTTCTGGACGCACTCCGCAGCGTGCCATCCTCCTTGCCAGTTCCGCAGCACCGTACGTTATCAGCACGCCCTCCCCGTGACGTGCGCAAAGAGCGGACCCGCCGGTGATGGTACAAGACCGGGGCAGCAGCATGCATGGATCGACGCCGTCGCCCTGAGATCATGTGCCCGCGCGAACCGTCGCTGCTACGTCTTCGTCGAACGAATAGCCCTACTGACACCGACGAACCCATGACCTGCGATGCCTGCGAAGAGCTCCGCTAACTTATGTGCTGTGCGAGTCCGCACGCCTCCAGATCGCCCCCGCAGCCTGTTGCGTCCGCCCCACGCCCGCAACGAGTATGCTGCATGCCCAGCGCCCCCCACGGCCACAGCACCTCACGTCCGCCGGCCCCAGCACCTCCGCCCGCTAGGCCCCGGCGAACCACGCGCACCCCGTCCGTCCCGGCTCGTCCAACATAGAAAGCTGGAATAAGCAACAACACGGAAAACAACTACTGCAACATTAGGCTGAAGCAGTTGAAACACCATGAACATATATATTGCAACAACAAGGAACAACAGCTGCAATATTAGGATGAAGCAGTTGAAACACCATGAACATATTATTACAACAACAAAGGAACAACAGCTGAAACATTAGACTGAAGCAGCTGAAACACCATAAACATATTATTGCAACAACACCGAACAAACTGCTGCAACAAATATGTTGAAGGAGCTGAAATATTTGGAACATATTATTGCAATACTGGTGTGAAGCATATGAAACAACGCTCGAAATAAAAACAATTGTAACAACATAGAACAACTACTACAACATAAGATTGAAGCAACTGAAACATACTCCAACATCTCAAGCAGTACTACTGCAACATCACAAAAAACATCTGTTGCAACAACCAAAAAAACCCATTGCAACATTCGAAATCATCTGTTGCAACATAAAAAAACCATTACAACATGGCGAGATCTGACCCCCCGAGAGCTCGCCGGAACCCTAGCCACCGCCGCATCCCTTAGATCCAGAGGAGGAGGGATGATGGCTCAGATCCAGAGGAGGTGGAAGGAGGAGGGCTCAGATCCAGATCCGGAGGAGGAGGAGCAAGGCCTCAGATCCAGATCCCTCCGCAACCTACCTCGTCGGAGCCGTCGCCGCCGTCCTCGTCTTTGGTGGGGTGTGGGAGCCGGGTTGCAGGGAGAGTGGGGGTGCATGGAGGTCATGGAGGGCGAGGGACGGAGGGAGGAGGGAGCACGGGCGGGCGGGCGCGCAACAAGCTCGCGTGCGCAGGGAGGGAGGGAGCTCGCGCGGTGACGACGCGAAGAGCGGGCAGGAAAGCGACGTGGAGAGCGAGTGCAGGAGAGAGCGAGGCGCGGGGGAACGGGCGGAGTGCGACTGCGGGAGAGAGCGACTGCGGGGCAACGGGCGGAGCGGGTGAAGTGCCAAGTGCGGGGGAAGCGAGTGAAGTGAAGAGGCGTCGGGTAGGCGGATAAGACGAGGCGCGGTCGGTGAAGTCGCGAATGGTAGTCTGACGCGCATCCGGCGCGTCATAGCATTTCCGTTTTAGATACAAAAGTAGCGGGACAATTTTACAAAACACAAAGACAACGGCACAACACATAAAGCAGAGGGAAAACGTTACTGAGCACAGATCTTAACAATATCTCCACCATACAAAAGTGGAAGAAAACAAAAACAAAAAACTGTTGGAAGATATTTAGAAATCTCGATTCTACTTGTGGATATTATATCTAACGGGTGTGGGTATAGAATTTCACCCGCGGCAGTTACGGGTCCATTTGTTCGCCCCTCATACACTGTTGATAGATTGAAAATATGCAACCATTTAATAGTCGAAGAACCAAGTAAAACTGAATACATCTCATGTAGACATGTAGTGGCAGCATTGATCATTCATCACTGTCCAGCAAAGCACCTCAGGCCAGGATATGCAAACCTACTAGTATTTCGGATACTCTCCCGTGGCTGCTTAGATACCCTTGCATATCCCGTGGCACTTGGAGCCGTGAAGGATGTTGTTCTTCCAGTTTCCAGCGCCAGCACCAACATTCAATCCTTCACAAATCACAATCATACAAGGTCATTGTAGAGTCACGGAGCAGAGAACCCATCTGATCGACATGGCAGCATCAACTCTCAACCCATTTGCCGTTGCCTGCCTGCTGGCCCTTGTCGTCGCCGCAGGTTTTGACTGATCTCATCTTATTTCTCCCAGCGCCATGCTTAGAAGCGCCATCAGGTTTGCGAATTTTGTATGCGCAGGAAACTGACCGGTTGTGCATGCGGCGTGCCCTCCCGGATGGGCAGGTGCCTCGCGGACAAAGCTAGCGAACAGCATGGACCCCGACGTGGAGGAGACGAGGCCCTGCCACAGCAACAACGCGTGGAGCGGGCACCTCTACAGGTACGCGTGCTAGGCCAGCGGGTTCAGCCGCTATGACTTCGCCTTGCCGAGCGTGGCCACCGACAACCAGGCGCGCTACTGCTGCCCCATGGACGACAAGCACGCGTGCCTCAGCGTCACAGTGTAGTGGTGTTGCCGGTGTGGTATGTCCGTGAGCGAGGCTTCACAGGCTGAAGAGTCAAATGCTTGTAATGCAAGGGGAACAAGTCATTATAAAATGAAATATATGTTACGCGGCATCATATAATGTTTTTACTATAGAAATTGTTGGATTATTAGCCCAATTCATGATTAATTCAAGGCATAAATCATGACAAACATAGATACCACCATGCAAATCTCTAGCACACTTGTTGAAACAAACATCATCAACATGAACAATAGCAGCCAAATTCATGATTAATTCAAGGCATAAATCTTGACAAACATAGATACTACCATGCAAATCTCTAGCACACTAGTTGAACCAAACATCATCAACATGAACAATAGCATGACACAAACAACAAACATACTGAGATAACATATCAAATCAGGATGTACTTACTTCTCGTTTGCAGATGAGGACACCGTGAAAGGTGGTGGAGGAACGATGATGTTGTTGACAACATTAGCGAAGAAGGGCTGAAACAGCCGACGACGTTCGACACTGCCTGACTTGAATGAAAGATGAGTTGTGATGAGGACAACACACCTTTTGATACAAGGCATGTAGATGGAGAGGACCAGCTTGGGCGTCCAAGTCATAACAAAGGCCTAGTCCAAATCGAGCTTGAGTCCACCTCAGATTCTAGGATGGCTAAAACGACGTCTAGGATGCATACAAACTCCATTTTTTATGTTCTACCTATGCTTGGAAAGATAGTTTCATAAGCTTTTCAATGGAACTGGTCTCACCTCAATTCCACTGGAGTCAACAGGAATCGTCGAAACAAGTCTACGTCTAGAATCTACTAGGGTGTTGTGACACTTTTCTTTGGTCTGTTAGGCCATGTGTCTTCTTAGAGCCCATTAGGGTGCTTATCCAGGGGGTATGCAGGCCCAAGACTATATAATCAGTAGCCACCGTACATCAGTAGTTTGGGTTTTGTTGAGTTCTAATTTTTATCGTGAAACAGACATTCTTCATAACACTTGTAACACCGAGTTTGATTGTTATGAATCAGGACTCCCGTTCTTGTTCTTCTTCAACTGTGTCGATTAGTCCTTCCATTTGAAGACTTGAACCTCCTATCATATTGATATACTTCATCTCTATTTGCAATACTAGGTTGTGTTTTTCACGTTCTTGCTTGTGTTCGATTCGCTTGCATGTAAAACCTTCTAGGCAAGATCAATCATGTTGTGCATGGTTGATAACCAAGAGAGCAATGGTGTAACAGTTGCAGGGGTCTGAATCATACTTAATTTGAAGCCTAAATTGTGAACATTGAGTTCTCCGCTAATCGAATCTATCATACATATCAGAAGATCAGGCCACGTCTCCATCATTACACCTATCCTACCCCAAAGCTCTACATAAGTCCATTAGAAGTAGGAAGAAGGCAAATGATCTATGCCTTGGTGAGGATTCATACACATGGAGTGATTTGATAGTATCATTTGAGAAACTTAAATTTATTTGCAAAAAAAATATAAAACCTCCAGAATGATGGCTACACAAATAATAGGAGAAGTAGTGCTCTATCAAGTTGTTTTTTTCTTTTAACCACCCATGACAAGGAGAAGGCCATAAGTGAAAGCCTCATGTTTGGTTTTGGTAATTGAGACAACTAGTGGACTAACCTTTTGCTAAGTGTTGGTTAAGCTAGGTAAAGTCTAGACCAAGATAATGACCAAGGCTAGAAGTTGGATAAGAGGTGATCAATCCAAATGGAGCAAGTTCACACATGAAGAAGAGGAAGAGGTGGAAACAAGCCCAAAGGAAAAGTTATATGTTAGGGGTTTTGTTTTCACCGAGTGAGACACAATAGAATATGTGGCCGGGTTTAGGATGGATAGGCGTATTGTTAAGAGGGAATTCTAATGCTTAAGCAATTATCTAAGTGTGACTAGGTGTGAACTAACTTTGCATGTTCATTGGACCTAGTTTCGCGGTGAGATGCAAGTGAAAAATGTTTTTGAAAAGCTATGTTACTACCTAAGGTGAAGATGTTCATGTTGGAACATATTGGAGTTAACGAATTTGAGATGCTTGCAAGTTTTGTGACATAGTGTAGGGTTTCAGCACTCACCGGATTAATCATGTGCCCTTGCGAGGAAGTCACGAGAGTAATCCGATGTAGTGTTTGATCTTAACTAAGCTAGGGTTAAGTACCAGATTAGTCCAGTGCTTAGCCACTAACATGCACTGAAACAATAGTGGTAACTTTCCCAAGCGCGGGGTTTTCAAACGTGTTCACCAGATAACCTAGTGTTGAGCATCAGACTAATCCACTGACCCAAAACCAGTTCTGAAACCTCTCTAGTGGACACCGGAATATAGTCTAGTGATCTACCTGGCTGCGGCACCAGACCAATAGATACCTTTGCGTCACCATATGACATGAAGCAATGTGGTGATGTTGGAGAGCTTGTAGAAGCATCACTCTTATATTCGGAGCATGAACCATCATTATCACCATCAAGTGTGCATGGAGTATTATCATCGGTTG